ATAGTACTCTATTCAAGCACAGTTCTGTACAGCTGTGTATGCATCATGTCCAGTGCATAATGTTTGCATCCCTTTTGTTTGCCATGCATGTACTTCAACCACCTGTTAACATTCTTGATTGTATATTTAACTGGAACTTTGGTAACATGAAGGGCGCCAACAAATGCAATGTGAAATTCATATAACTGGAACAAAATACCAGGAATGCTTTCCTTTAATAGACATGTTTATCTGGATCTTTTGCTGGAAACATAATAATGCAAAGACTATAGCTTTCGAAGTATCTCAATGATTTCAGTCCCATTTCTAGCCACCGAGGAAGAGAGCAAATGCCATAATGCCTAAAACAACAAATACCTGAGAACAGTAATCATCCATTTCCTCTTCTTTTTGCTGACGCAACTCATCCTGACAAAAAAAAATCAGACAACAATTTGTACCAAGCAAAAAGTGAATGTAGAATAACATGGTTAAAGGCAGACAGCAGAAAGAACATAAAAGTTTACAAGTTCTCAATCTAGACTCGTAATAGCTGGCGGAGCCAGAACTTTTACCCTGTGGGGTCAAATACCGTTGCATCATATAATAGTGGGGTCATTTTTATAAATTTCAATGGACTTACATGTAAAAAGAGAGACTCACAAGGGTGTTTGCAAAAAAGCTGTGGGGTCAAGCTGATCCCACAGTTTTGTACATGGCTCCGCCACTCTATATTGCACTTCAAAATTAGAAGCAAAAACTATTGAGTACCAAGCAAGTTCAACTCCTAACTAATTCAATTATTTACCAAATGTTTCTCACAAAAAAAACAGCACGAGGGTACCATTTGATTTTTTTTTTAAATGCAAAAAAATAATGCAATAACGTGCTAGAATAGTTTGTCACATTGTTGGCCTTCAGCTGGTTGTAAAAAATGATGTTACATATTGACTTTGTACAGTTTACCTCAGGAGTAGCAAGATAGCACTATCAGATTAAATTCTCAATAGGATATGGCTGCAATTAGTTTTCAATCATGCCTCTATAGCTCTATTGCAGTCCACACAGAAGTTCCCATTTAGTGTTTGTAAAAGAATCAAGATCCAACCTCAATTTGTACATTCTCTCAGTCATTCATGCACAACAGATGAAAATAGTAGGTACAAAAAATAAAATACTGAAACATGGCAAAAGCATCAACATTCAACAGGGCAGCTGACCTGTGTAGGCTTCGCTGATCCAGAAGATGAAAACCCACGCCTTAATTTGATTGTGTTGCCACCTAGCTTAGGACCAGTATCAAAGACCAGCCAAGCTTCCCAGGTATCATCCTCTCCAGTAAAAAGAGCATGCAAGTCCTGCACAGATTATTCAGCCTTGTCCTAAGTTGCCATTCTCTCTTTTCTGAGCAAGTCATGCTGTTACAACAGTATATCACATACCGGGGTGCTTCCTTGGAGATCAACACGTGCTGCAAATAAGCCTGAAGGTTGAAATTTACGGCGATGCCATACCTATTTTTTTTTACAACAAAACAGGATGTTCAACTGCTTTATGGGCATGGAAATCAAAGAGGGGAGTATGATAGGAACCAAAACTAACTCAAGAACATGATAAAAGCAAAAGATGGTATATCCACACCGCAGATCATACCATGGCATACATAGCTAAATTCAAGTGATGATTATCTTCATCTCATTGAATGCATTTACAGTATTCGACTGGAGAAGAAAGTGTGGTATCTTTTTCTAGAACAAGTGTATTTGTAGTGATAGCAAATTGGCATTCCATGAAATGGCTTTCTAATAGTACAAGAAAGATGATAGCGAATAATATTCTCATGGCATCTTTTTACCTGACAATTATATGCTAGCTCAAGTTGTTCAGAAACATCTTCACGCAAGGGGATCCAATCAAGCCCTCCTTTGCGAGCAAACCAGTGGCCCCTCAAGACACGCCTGTTCTCCCCATTCCAGTACACAGGGAAGCAATGACGTCTCATTAAATCGACCTGCAACAGTGTATGTTCTTATAACAAAGACATATTCAATATCTAGCATGCTAGTAGTAAAAAAGAACAGAAAAGTTATACAGTATTACAGGTGTGTGACAGAGCTAAAAAAATTCACTTAGTCCACAATCTTACTTCTACTAGATCAACAATAACAAGTACAGTGTCCACTAAAAAATAACAAGAAGAATGTAAATATGTATAAATAGCTTTGCTTCGGCGAATAACTAACAAAACTCATGCGTCGTGAATCCAGTTGTGAACAAACTACAAGACAAAAAATACAAACCTCATAAAGTCCGCCTTTCACAGGAACCCCAACCCGTTCTTCCTCCACCTTATACAGACTTTTAGAATCCGAAGCATCAGCTGCAACTAAGGAACCTTTTGGCCCTTCGCTGCACTCGGCGTACTCTCTCCACCAGTATGCAAGCAGAGCTTCCTCCCTCTACAAACCAGTAAACCAGTATTGTGATCCTGAAGTTAAGTGGTTTAAAAAGAGTGAGAGAGGATATAATCCCCCTTATATTGTAGAGGGACTAGTACAGCTCTCTTGGAACTAGATTGTCTAGTAATATCGCTTTTCAAGCGGATTGTTTCTATTACTGTTACTACAGTCCAGTCTTACCATATAAATGACTAAAATGAGTAAACACTAAGCAATTGACAATGGTGTTAAAGAGAGAACCTCCAAGAAGGACGCCTCCAATGCAAGAGAGTCTCTCATGCTGAACCGGAAGTAGTCCCCTTTTCCCACTATCTCTGTCCGTGGAACTGAAGCAGAGAGCGCTGCATCAACAGCGAATTGCACAAAACATAAGATCAGTAAGACATTTATCACACGCTTCATAAGTTTAAAGTCCAAACCGATGATCAATTTAATTGAGCACAGCAGTTCTGAAGTATGAAGACATGCCACGGTCAAATATGAATCTAATGTAAATGAGCATTGCTTCGAATGGCGAGTTCAATCAGCGAATTCAATAGCGCATGCATGTGAACACTTGTCTAAACCACACTACCCTATCAATTAGTAGATTCAAATCAGCAACAGTCTCACACATCAAACCTACATTCTAGCTACCGCTGATTAACCACGAGTGACTGAATCGGACGGTTAAATTGGTGGCACTGGGTGTAGCATTCCGAAGCAGACGAGTCTGAGAGGTGAGCGGATGCACGCACCTTTGTCGGCGAGGGGCAGCTTGCAGAAGTACCAGCGGACATCCTCGCCGTCGGAGGGGCTCTTGGTGCGGGCGAGGTACTTGCGGCGAGCGGCGCAGTGCTCGATGGCGTCCTCCAGCCTCGCGATGTTGGAGGGCGTGTTCCGCAGCGAGTCCGGCGACGCGCCGCCATCCACGGCCCCGGGGGCCGCCTGGCTCGTGGACGCCCCCGACGCGTCGTCCCCGAGGGCGCCACGCGCCGCGGGGGACTCCATGTGCCGGGATCGCCGGCAACGGAGGAGGCGGCGAGGTGGGGCCCGCGCCTCGCCGTGGGTGGGAAGGGAAGGGAATGTGCCGTTCGCGAGGGGAATCCAGATGGTTCCTTCTTCTCCAAAACTCAACTCTGCTTCGTCTCGTGTCGTGTCGTGTCAGGCCACCCCAAGACCAGCGGTTGGAACACGCACTTGACGAGCAGGTGGACCGAATACGCTTTCCAGGTCGCGAAACGTATTTCTGGCTGCGTTCTATATGACTTAGGTTTTGTGATTGATTTTCGGCGCACGTAAAACGAAAAAGCTCATTATTATATGGTTAATTAATTATTAATAATTATAAACTTGAAAATGATTTTATTTAAATTTTTTAAACAACTTATATATAGAAACATTTTGAAAAAAACATATCATTTAATAGTTTGAAAAGCGTGTAAATAAAAACAAGATAGTTGTAGTTTGAAGTTGAAGAGAAGAACTAGGCCTAGTATATATGAACTGCTAAAATAAACTAGTATTCCTAGTACTATACAACACCGACTATGTCATAAAGTAAATTATCTTGCTTATAGCTATTATGCAACTACTAATTGGCCTAAAACTATGATTTTTTTTCCTCAAAGTGTCTTGTATATCGAGTTGTAAAACTAAATGCTGGATCTTACGTACACAAAAGAATTGTATGTTTTGAAATGTTTGAATAAGCTTGGAAGCCATTTACGTTTGTTTTGAATAGAGAGAAAAAGCCATCTCCAACAATGCTTACAGAGGAAAAAACAGCATGTTATCTATTTTTCGTGTTCAATATATAAAAGTATATGGAAAATAAAAGTTAAGAGGGCTAGAGAATATTATGCGGGCAAATAGGAGTATGCATTTATACTGATAATATATAAGTATTTTCATTTATTTTCTTATGGTTGCACGTTTATACGGCATCCAATTATGATGTTTCTTTCCATGTTGGTATTAAGATAAGTATATTTTGTGCGAGTTATTTTAATTGTTATTGAAATACTGTTTAGACAGCAACATAGCGTGTACGCCTCATTTATTAGGCTATCATGTATGCCAATTAGGTCAATGAACAATAAACCTATACATATTTGTGACTTCATAAGGAGTTTATTTTTTCAATTATCATTGAAAAAAACTCTCATTCATCTGTTTTTAACACTGGCTCGTGAATATAAATGCTCAATCGCACAAGGCTTCATGCTAACAATATCTCCACATGCATACAACTTTATATGTCCATTTTAGTTTTGCACCAACAATCTAACACGCCTCTCTTCTTAGTTCTTAGGAAATACTACTTGGAAAAAAGGCACGGGCTACAAATACAAAATAGGTGTATTCTAGCCATATGCATCAAGCAATCCTAGCAAACTCCATATTGCATCCAGTGTTACGTGTCCGTTCGTTCGTTTGCAGTTGGAGACAAAATACGCCTTCGAATTCACTTCGCGCAAGAAAACTGAAATACGCCTCTCTCCCTCATACACGTATTACAAACACCGCAACCGCAAAATACGCCTAGGTGTTCCCTCTATAAAGCGGAGAAGGCAAAGACACGAGCTCTCTCTTCCAACCCCACACAAAGCGGCGCCTCCGCACCCGTGTGTAAAGAAAAAAAAATCGGAGGCGAAAACCTCTCAAACCCTAATCCCCTCGTCCCCCCCATGGCGGAGTCGGACGCGGCGGCGCCGCCGCCGGAGGTAGTCGCCCCCGTGGAGGAGCAGACGGCCCCCGCGGTCGGCGCATCCACGCTGGAAGAGGCCGAGCCCGCCGCGGCCGCGGCCCCGGCCGCCGAGGGCGAGGGCGAGCACAAGAGGAAGCTCGAGGAGGTCGACGCCGCCCCCGACGCGAACGGCGGCGGCGAGGACGCCAAGCGGCCCCGCGTGGAAGGCGACGGCGAAGGTGGATCTTCTCCCTCCTTCCCCGCGTCTGTTTGCGCATAGGGTTTTGCATCTCAGAGGGGATGATGCTTGTGTGTTTTCTAATTCATTCGGTGCTTGAATAATCCTCGAAGGGTTTATGCTCCGTGTGATCTGATTGTGTTCTCTCTTTGAATCAGGTGTCGTGCAGAGCAACGAGTCCTCCGCGAAGGTCGATGAGCCGGTAGCTACAGAGAACAGTGACGCTGCCCCTGCTGAGGCATCTGTTGATGCTGTGAATGGCAAGGTTCCTCCTACCGAGGATTCGCAGATGGGCTCTGGGGAGAAGCCTGCAGCAGAAGCAGCAGTGACTGAAGCCCCGCCGCAAGAAGGTGGTGGCGCACCAGGACAGGAGACGTCTCGGATAATCAACGTGCCCAATAACAAGGTATAATTACTGGCATGGGGCAAATATGGCAACCTGTTTGGTTTCATGTAGAAATCTGCAGAACATTCTGTAACTATTTATACATGGCCTCTATGAAGCTGCGTAAAATTCAGGACGAAAACCACGGAAAGTTATTAATGAGTGCAGACATTCGGACTTGTGGTTTGCTAATGCTAGCCATGAAAATTCATGCAGGTCGGAGTCCTAATAGGAAAATCTGGGGAAACAATCAGAAACTTGCAAATGAACTCGGGCGCGAAGATCCAAATCACAAAGGATGCTGAGGCAGATGCAAATGCCCCAACTCGTTCTGTTGAACTAGTTGGAACCCTTGAGAGTATTGACAAGGCCGAGCGGCTGATTAAGAATGTTATAGCTGAGGTATTCCACGTGCTAAATTAATTAGCCGTGATTTCCATACTAGTTTGAGCTGTATTTTCATCCAAGCAACTTAAACTTGTGACATTCTTTATTACTTCCACTTCAGGCTGATGCTGGTGGTTCGCCTGCTCTGATCGCTAGAGGTTTTGGGTCTGGACAGTCAGGCTCTGAGCAGTTTGAGATGCTAGTCCCTGATAATAAGGTTGGCATTTCCTTTTCAATGTTGGCAACGAAGCAACCTTTCCTTTAAAATGCAAGGAGCCATAACATTTTATTTATTTAACCGTTTGCTTTGACCTATAGGTCGGTTTAATTATCGGAAAAGGCGGCGAGACCATTAAAACCCTCCAAACTAGGTCTGGTGCTCGTATTCAGGTAGAGAAGGTTACTTGTTACGCTGTAATGGCTGTTGCTTACATCAACTGAGATTTGAGTGTGATCATAAATGTTCATGTAGTTGATTCCCCAACATCCTCCGGAAGGTGTTACATTGACAGAAAGAACTGTACGTATTACTGGGAATAAGAAGCAGATAGAAGCGGCAAAAGATATGATTAAGCAAGCTATGAGTCAGGTAATGTGATTCTGTGTTTCGCTTTCAACTGTTCCTTCATGCTGTAAATAACTAGTGATATTAGATGATGCTGTGATCACCCAATGATTGTGCAATTCAATCATGCTGTGAAGAACTGGGCGATGCTATATGATGATGAGATGCTAAATTCCTACTTTATGCGTTTCCATTCTATTCATGCTGTGATTATTTTTTCATTGAAACTGAATTTCTGTTACCTGCTCTGGAATCATGGTGTGTATTATCGAACCTATTGTCTCTAGCATGACCTTACTATCTTCGTATTATATGATTGGTATAATCCAATATGTTTTCCTGTTCTCCCTGATAATAGAGGTCTTAGAAATATAGAAGGTGTTTTTTGGTTCTTGTTGAGTAAACCTGTGATTTCTTTCAATCAGCTTAATTAAATCTGTGCCCTCTTATGGTTTGTGTAGATGTTATTTTATTGATACCTTCTAGAACTGGTTCCAGCATTTGTTCATTTCATTTTTAATAGTTTTCATCTCCGCATCTTATAAACTTGAAGTAAATTTCTTTTACACAAAAACGCTTCAATGCAAATGTATTTTGTTGAATGAAACACAATTTTACTGCGTCAATGGGGTGCTGGATTTTTCCTCGCTTATTAAATCTTAAGTGTATAAACTAATGTCTTTTCTACAATGGGCCTTGTATGAAGTACCGATCTTGAAATATAGCAGTGCCTAATTGGACTGGAAGGTAAGTTCTTCTTAATTGGTGATAAGTTTTAGTGTCTTTGTTGCTAAGTCAATGAGATGCCACATCCTTGAGAGTATTATGTATGGTTATATTAATACTTAATTTATACAGAATAATTTGTCTATAATATTTCATGAGTTATAATCTCCTCGTGGTCAATTATTTTTTTGTGGGAATATTTGTCATCTTCCATATAATTCAGTATCTTGCCTTGCTGCCTTTTCAATGGCAAAATTTATTCCATGTCCATGAATTTTAAGGTTTTTGCATTGTCTTAAATTACAAATGATGCATATGTTTAGTTTCCCATGAAAATGTTGTTCATTCATGGATTAACAATATGGAACATGGTGTGCATGATCATCAATGTTAACTATGAATGAAGTTAGAATAAATGATTTGACTCTGCAATGGATAGCTTTTGAGGATTTGTGAGATATATTCACGTTGACATAAAAAGATAGTTTAGTCTCGGTGGCTTGATAGTTCTTCATAGTTCGTCTAGAAGCAGAACTTACCTTCGTGTATGATAGTGTGGTTGGACTTCAGTACTTGATCGTTAAAACCTTGGTGCTGTCACATGATCAATGAACAATTACTGTGGTACTAGTTTCAATCTTTAGTCGGCTAGTCTTTTGAGTTTTGGTAACTGCTTACTGCTAGATGAGATCTGATTATGTTTCCTACATAAGAAGTCAGAACTGACTCATCAAGGTTCCTCTCGCTTCCAGTTTCCATGATTTATTTTGTTTGAAGGTGCCAATTTGGAGTTGGTTGGGTATCCTAATGCAGATACAGCTAGGCTTTCATCATGGGCTCCACATCCTTCATCCATTACATGCACAGAAGAGGGATATTGACCATTATCCCTTGCCCTTGCATGGTTTGTGTAGTTGGTAACTGGTAAGGCTGCTTATTGCTGAAATGGAAAGAAAAAAAAACAATGTGGCATTGGGAGACTGCACCAAATGTTTCATTGCCATGACAAGGATACTGCATCACCATGTCTAGGTTTGCTGAACTAAATTGTTGCCACTAATTTGCAATAGCTGAAAAAGCAGCAAGTTTTCTCGCATCACATACGTCAGTTATTTGATGTGTTAGCTTTCCAACTAGAATATTCAAGTTGGCTGACAGCCTATATTGTTGGAGTTAAATCATATATGTGAGCTATGCATGCAATTTTGCTATGTTTCTTTTTTTTGAATTGCTGCATGTAATATCACCATGGTTATGTGATGATGTCATAACGTGCAACTGTAATCCCATTTACTTCTTACTTACCCATTGGCTCTGCTAAAGGTGATGGTTCTGTTGATATATGCATTCATCACATTGATATTTTGTGTTTGTCTATTGTTCAGATCCCCTGGTCCTTTTAAAAATTCTTGTTTAGATGTCTGAAGGAGGTTGTGAAATGCCAGTATTAATTAGAATCCTTTTATCTAACAATGTTTGTGAATGCTTAAGCATAAATTATGTTTTTAGTGAATCATGGTGCCATAGCTTATATGCAGGCTTATTTTGTTATTGTTGGTATGCTGCAAGTATGAAGTGAAACACTGGTCATCCTTTTTAATTATCTTACAAAAATGCCTTTATTCTTCTGTGTTATATTTGTAATTTGTAATTGTACTATTTAGTATTTTGTTTTTGTCATTTAGTGTTCTTGTTTTGTTTCTAACGTTCCTTCTTAAACAGACATTTTCAAGACATGGGGCTCAATCTGGTGGATATGGTCAGCAAAACTACCGCCCTCAGGGTCATGGTGCAGCTTCTCAGTGGGGCCCACGTTCTCAACCCCAGCCTGGATATGGATATCCACCAAGAGGGCCTCCACCTCAGAACATGCCATACTCCCAACCTTATGGTGGCTACCCGCAGCAGCCACCACCAAGAGGTGGCATGGGCTGGGATCAGAGGCAGGGCCCTCCACCCCATGCTTCCCACCATGGTGGCGGTTACGACTACTATAAACAGGGTTCTCAACCATATGAAGGCCAGCCACCAAATTACCCTCCTGGGCCTGGAAACTACAATAGTTATGGGCCATCACAGGGCCCAAATTATGGACAACCTCAGTATCCGCAGTCTGCACCTCCACAGAACTATGGGCCGGGTTATGGTGATCCTAGATACAATGCTCCAGCACCAAACCAGCAGTACTATGGACAGCCTCCAGCGGGTCCACAGCAAGGCTACCCTCCACAGCAAGATCCCTACGCTAGGCCTTATGGTGGACCTGGACAATGGGCACCCAGAGGTGCACCAGCCGGAGATGGCACTTACCAGGCGCCACCACCTACATCTTATGGCCCACCATCTCAGCAGCCTCCTGCTTATGGTCAGACATATGGGCCAACGACTGGACCTGATGGGTATTCTCAGCAGAGTTACCCACAGCAAGGTGCACAAGCGCCAGCAACATATGGTCAGAGTGCACCAGCAGGGCCAGGGTATGCTCAACAAGGCGCACAGCAAGGTGGCTATGCACAGTATCCTCAATCCCAACCAGCATATGGTGATCAAGCAGCTCAAAACAATGCAAACTACGGCTACCAGGGTGCTCCAGCAGATCCCAACTATGGAAATGCCTACCCACAGGCAGGATACGGTTCTACTCCGGCTAGTGGCCAGGCTGGATATGCTGCTGCACCGGCTGCTGGCCAGCCAGGGTACGGTCAGCCAGGATACACTCAGCCACCTACAAATCCACCAGCTTATGATCAGTCTGCCCAGCCACCAGCTCAGAGTGGCTATGCTGCACCTCCTGCAAACCCACAGCCTGCTGTTGCAAAGGGGGTGTCACCGCAGCCTGCTGGATATGGTGGACAATGGACCGCTTGAGGTTTGTACCTCATTATTGACAGCAATGATCTAGTTGAAGACTATGTTTTGCCTCATGATGCTGCCGCTTATATGAAGTAGGCGGTTGAATCCCCTTGGGATGTTCATTCAGTAAGCGGTAGACTTTTGATATGCCTATAAGGGATGTAACCCCTTGCCTCTCCAGTTGTTATACCGGATCTCTGTAGTAGTTAGTAGTTTGTTAAGATGACATAAAACCTCCTGTTTAGTTTAAAAGTGAACCGAATTATGTGTTATTCTGCAGCATGTCGACTGATGTTTGGATGCTTAGTCCTATCCCTTTGCTTCAAGTTGTTTGTGCTATGCTTGCCGCTGGTTGGTTGCAATGTGAAAAGATGTTTTGCCTGCTGCTACCAACACGCAGTTAGAGATCATACTTGTTTGCGCCATTGGCTGGCAACTGGTTGACAAACTTTCTCATGTTACTATGAATCGAACCGTGCAGTATATACATATGCTAGAAGTGGTATTGATGAACTATTCAAATCTTTACTATGAATCGAACTGTGCAGTTTATGCATGTAATAGAAGTGGTATTGATTAAATAGAGGTTTTTACCTGTATGCCATTAAAAAAGATGATGTCTGCCTCTGTGCCACTAAAAAATTCGAGCCTCCCTCTGTGCCATCGTTGAACTTTGTCGCGCCCTCCGCACCATTCCGTCGCTATTCTGTGTGGGTTTAACCGTTTGATAGGTCTGACATGTGGGTCCGGGTAGGAAAAATGTCGCTCTTACCCTTTCAGAGAGAGGACAGGCGGTGTGGCAGACAAGCGGCCAGGCGCGGCGGCAAGGCGGCCATGCGGCCAAGAGGGGCGGGGTGGCGCGGCGAGACCGGCGACCGGCGCGGCGGCATGGCCGCCGCCGCAGGGAGCGATGGCCACCGCCACCTCCATCCACGCCGCCCACCGCAACCAAATCGAGATCCCTCCCCGTCCTCCAAGCCGGCGACTCCTTCCTCGTCCGGCGGCGGCATCCGCCACCTACAACTCCCTCCGTGCCGCCATCAAGCGCCACTCCCGCAAGCTCGACACCATGAAGGCCGACTCCTCCTCCTCATCCTCCGGCGCCGGCGCCTTCGGATCATCCCAGCCCGCGGGCTCCTCCTCGTTGCGAACCAAGAAGATGGACGAGGAGCGGCGGCGTCCGGGGAGGGATCCCTCCTCCCGCCGATCCGGGTTTCGGAGTGGGCCGGCGGGGACGAGATGAGGAGGAGCGGCGGCGACGACATCTTCCCCACATGTACATCTTCCCCAGGGCATTCTCTGGCCGCTCCTTGAACACCCACATATACATGTACTCCATGTCGTGCTGCACTAGAAAAGCATCTAGTGTAGCATTATTACCGTTCCCACGGCGATGGGGGCCTTCGCCTTGCCGTTCTTGTCAGCCAACATGACCGGCTTGAAGTAGTGGGTGAAGAAGAACCACGCGCCCCATATGGTATCGTTCCTCTTCACACACTTGCAGGCAGCGCTAGAATTGGAGCCCTTGGCATGTGATACGACGATCGTGGTGGTCGCCGCCGCCGGGGCAGGGGACACGCCGGTGGCAGCAGGTGAGTCCGAGTCGTAGAGCTGCGGGCCGCTGAGGCCGACATCTAGCATGTCGACGTTGGGGTCGTGGAGGGCGTCGGCGGCCGCACGGTAGCTACCTCCTCCTCTCCTTCTCCGTGCTCGCCATCGTCGACCAACTCGTCAATTTCCCACTGCTCTTGTTCACTATCCGGCCGGATGCCCTCGAGCACGCCACCATGTACCTCCACCTCGCTGTGTACGCGTCCGTGGCGCTCACCGCCGACGGGTGTTGCGTCTTCCCACCACGGCGGCGCACAGGCGCAGCTCGGGGACGTAGTGGCCGCGCTCGCCGCGTCAGTGTTCGGCCAGGAGCTATTCCCCTCCTCCCCCTTCCTCGGCGCCTTGGGGACAAACAAACGAACACGTTGGCCCCAAGAACGAACGGCACCGGCAAGAACGCCTAAGGGCAACTAAGTAATTTGGCTGCGCCGTTACCCACCGTTAGGACAAAAACGGACGGAATGGTGTGGAGGGCGCGATAAAGTTCGACAATGGCATAGAGAGAGGCTCGAACTTTTCAATGGCACAGAGGCAGACATCATCTTTCTTAATGGCATACAGGTAAAAACCTCGATTAACTATTCAAATCTGGAACCAAAGCGTATCCCAGAAGTGGTATTGATTAACTATTCAAATCTGGAACCAAACCGTATCCCAGTGATAATCTTGTGAATACATGCTATTCAATCTCATGTACTATGAATCGAACTGTGCAGTTTATACATGTGTTTGAAGTGGTATGATGTAACTAATTAAATCTGGAACCAAAGCGTATTCCAGTTGTAATTCAATTGCAATGATAATCTTACATCAGTTGTTATGACTCATGATCATGATGACTCATGATCATGATGGGAGCAGCAATTGGCGAAGAGTATCATAGAGCGCCCGAAGGATCCCCTTGTGCTGCTGCTCCTCAGGCAGCCTCAGCATGCTCGCTACCTTGTCGAACTTCTCCTGCCCCAGTGCGGCGTCCTCCGGCGAGGCCGCCACCGCCGCCACCCTGTGCTCCTTGTGGAGCACCGGCGGCGACAGCGCCCACTGCATCGCCCAGACGCCGAGCGGGCGCATGTAGTGCAGCGCCCGGTAGCCGCCGTCGGCCGTCCACGACTCCGGCGTCTGGAACGCGTAGCCGAAGCCGTGCTTGCCCCAGCCGGCGTCGTGGATGCCCTTGGCCGTCTTGAACGCCGCCTCCGGCATCCCCTCGTGGATCATCGCGGCGGCGACGGCGTACGTCACCCCGGGCCACACCTCCTTGGACTGCGTCGACGACGCGTCCACGGCGCCGTCCGGCCGCATCCCGTTGACGGCGCCGATGGCGCCGCCCTTCACCCGCATGACGTTGTAGTCGAGCACCGTCGCCAGCGCTCGCCGCGCCTTGTCGCCGTCCACGATCGGCTCCAGCCCGCACGCCCGCGCGTACCACTGACCGGCGAGCTGGTCGGCCTGGATCGACGAGCTGGTGGCGCCGCCGCTGTTGTCGTAGTTGAAGTAGCCGCCGTTCCAGAGCTCGTCTGTGTACACGCGCCTGGCGCGGTGGTACCTCCCCCGGAAGTAGGCCTCGGCGGCGCCGTCGCCGACGATGCCCGCCATGGCCGCGGCGGCCTGGAGCGCCGCCACCCAGAGGCCGCCGGTGTAGGCGCTGACGCCGGACACCGACCACAGGTCGTAGGTCTGGTCGGGGCGGCCCTCGTTCTCGACCATCCCGTCGCCGTCGCGGTCGAACTGGTCCATGTACGCCATGGCCAGGTACACCGCCGGCCACGCCGCCTCCGCGAAGCCGGCGTTCCCCGTCGCCACCACGTCGCGGTACACCTGCAGCACGAACTTTGGGTTGAGGTCCTTCCACCTCACCGGGTCGTGCAGCATGTACGCGTTCACCTCGAACCACGGGTCGTTCAGCCCCATGTCATGTGGCACCGCTCCCAACACCTGCATTTTTGACACCCCAAACTAGTCAATGCATGCAACTCAATATAACGTACTCTTCACGCCTAACCGATAAACTCATATAACTCAATATACAACATACTCTTTACGTTTAATTGATCGACGTATGAAGCATAATACCGACGTATAACTTCATGTCTTATTAGTCGATACATAAAACCTTAAAATTACTGTATTTTTATATACTCCCTTCGTTTCATATTATAAAACTTTCTAACATAAAGTCTTAGAAATGGATGAAGTATATATTTTATTCATCGGTGTATGAAACTCAATACTACTAAATGGTAGAGGAAGTATGAACCTTTTATATTTTTACTAATCAGTGCATGAAACTTAATACTTGTCCCTCCGTCTCATTTTAAGTGTAATTGTGGTTTTTCGTGTTTAACATTTCACCATCTGTATTATTTGAAAAAAATATGTGATTAGTGTTTATGTTTTATTATCTAAAAACAATAAAAATATTATTCACATAATTTTTTCTAAGACTCAAACATTGAATACGGAAAACCACAGCTGCACTTAAAATGGGACGGAAGGAGTACTGAATGGTAGAGGATGTATGAACCTTGCGCGCCACGGTGGCGCCGTCAAGGGTGCGGCGGAGGCAGGGGTCGTGGAGGAGGACGCCGCGGACGAAGTCGCGCTGGAGGTTGAGCTCGAGCTCGGGGAAGAGGGAGAGGAGGGCGAAGGAGGCGTAGAAGTGGACGTCGTAGGTGTTCCACATGTTGTACTCCATCCCCTCCAGGTACAGCACCTGCCCCACGTTCTCCTCGCCGTCGCGCAGCAGCGCCGTGCCCATCGCCGCCGCCGCCGCCGCCGCCGTGTTCGACCGCGCCGCCGCCACCGCCACCGTGCTCAAAATGCCGTCGACCGCGCTGCCGCCGTTGGCGACTGTACTGAACGTGTCGAGGTTGAACGGCTCAGTCGCTGACGAAAGGCTGGTGTTCTTCGGAGGCTGCCCATCTGTGACAATTTTGTTTTCTTGGTCAGTTTCAAGTTTCTGAATCGTTTTGGGTTTCAGATCAGTGATCAAGTTATTTTGGACTTTCAGAATGGATGTTTAAGAATTTGGGTGCAGAAGATTATATTGACCTGTCCAAATGGTGCCTCCAGCGTTGAGGTAGTAGAGCTCGTTGAACAGTGTAATTGGATACCTGACAAAAACAACATTACCATCAACGACCACTAATCCAATTAGTCAATTACTTGCTCCGTAAAAAAAAACTCAACCTAGAAGTTTGTCTAGATTCGTTGTACTAGATTATGTCTCATCGAAATACTAGGTTGAGTTTTTTTGGACTGAGGGAGTAGTGATTAGTAATTGATATGCAAAATCTGAAAAATTCGATCACCATTCAGGTAGGCTCTTGTCCTGCAGAATAGGCCTCTGCCACTCCTCGATCTGGGACTCCCATTTCATGTGTTCTACATGCAGACAAGAACACCAAACATTCGTCGTCAGAATCTTCAGACAACAAACTCCTGACTCTTGCGTAAATTCAGAAATTAAATTTGTTATCTTCACCAAGAAGAGCATCGTGGGCCAGGCGCTCAGCAGCCGCGTCGCGATCGGTGCCATGGAACTTGGTGTACCTCCTGCTCCAGCCATGATCAGACGATCTCATCATGTCAGTGTTCGAGAATTTCAGAAACAGCAAAGAACCAACAAGAGAATCGCCATTGCTGGCTGCTGATGAGCATGAGCTGTGTCACTGTCACAGTGTCACTTCACCTGTGGTAGGTTCTCCCCGCCGGGAACTTCACCTCGGGGCACGACCACGACAGCGCGAACGACACCGCGCGCGCGCCACCCGCCGCCACCGTCGTCGTCGCCGCCACCGCCGCTCCGATGGACGACCCGGGCCTCGACGCTCCCGTCGCCGCCGCCGCCGCATTGCCGTCCCCGACGAACGAACCATTCTGTTCGCCGCGAACATGCAGTGTTCGTCAGCCTGTCAGAGACTGACAGTGAAGCGTATGCATGGTGTCCGTCCTCCGTACCTTGTTGATCTGATCCCACATGTCCTTCGCCGTGACATCGCCGGAGTTGGATGGTCCCATCGTGAAGCGCGGGCAGCCGGTGACGCGGACGCCGTCGGTCTCCCGCGACGCGATCGCGAACGTCACCGGAGGGCGCCCATCCGCCGTCCTGCATCCATCGATCGACGACATGTCATCATCTCATTTGCAAAAGAGTTTCCGACACGAGAGCATGATGAGGTGATGAACTACGCACCTGTGATGGAGGAGGACGCCATGGACGCCGTCGCGAGCTCTGCGCAAGAAAGATCAGCACAGTTGCAAGAAGCAACGAGTCCATGAATTAACTGATTAAAATTGGTGAGAGACATGATGGCAAGATCAGTAATTACGTCATTCTGGAGTTCTTATGATTCCCGGTCAGTTCAGATTTCCCTCCAACCGAATTCTGCATGATGAACAATGCCAGTGGTGAGGTTTTTACTGGAAAATGCTGTCTTTGTTTTATGAAGAACTAGGTGTTGGTTTGCACTTACTGCCCATGTGAAGAGCAGTGTTACATCTGCAGGTGTGCTTCCAGAATTGTGTAACTGCATGCACAGGAACAGAAGTTCAGAGAAAACAAAATGAACAGATCAATTGGAGTTATTTTCATCTGCAGCAGAAACAAAAAGGATTGTAAGAACTGTACCGTAAAAGTGAAAACTGCAACAGGGAAGCTGCTCTCCTTGTAGTTGTGAGGAATGAACGGTGATATCTGACGGCAAGTTATTTTAATTTCAGGGTCAGGTTCACCTGCATTGTTTGCAATTTTAGAGCTCAGATTAGTAAGGATTTGCACAATTGATGTTTTTCCAGGATTCGTGATCAATGGTCTAGTGATACTACTATAAGAAATCAGTGTGTACCATTGTATACTGTCCATGATCTTGGGAACAAGCCATGGTAAGTGCAATTCTTCTCTTTCAGCTTCCAGTCCCAGGATCCAATGCCAGCTTTATCGATTCCCCTGAAAATTTCACATTTCATGATATTCCTAGCATGCAAAGATGCATTCAAATAGGCTTTGATATAAATTTTGTTGTTTACTTGAGGACATCGGCATTCGGTGCCGACAACACTGTCGAGTATCTCTTTCCGTCAGGGCGCGAAATGAATGCCTATACAATTGAACCATGATCGTGATGATTAGAGGATTTCTAGGATTACCATCAATGTTCATTTTATATTAGAAATACAAAATGAAAAGCACTAACTGAAAATTGATTTGCTAGGATAGGCTTCTCTTCATATATACTGGGGAATATCTGAAACTGCTGAAAATATCCCCTGTAGCTTCTCCCTATGCTCCCTGCACTGATAAAACAGTGTGCTTTGAACAAAGTTGTCATCTATTGTTCAATGAATTCAAATTTAGCTATGACCAAAAGGTAATAGAATATCTTGATATAGTTCCTAATCGTAGATAGTAAGGAAACTTAGCTGAATTTTTAGTAGGAAAGGCTTAATTTGCTTACCCAATCCCACCGAGGGGTACACCGCGGTAGCAGTTGTCCATCCATTTCTTCAGTGGATCATACACTGAAGCCTTTGCAAAAGTGAAAAATTGTCAGTAAGTTTAGCAATTCCTGCTGATATTTCAACAGCCTGCAAAACAATTATTGATGGATTAGCTGGATCTTCAACAGGGTAAGAGTAATCACCAGGCCTTTTGCATTGTCTTTCAGGTTTAGTCCCAGCATTTTAATCATCAACGGCACCTACAATACCAAAAGCACCATGACTTCATTGCAAATGGAATGCTTCACTGCTAATACCTAATTTAGACTACTTTTCTTGAAAGCAACGAGTGTCGTTGCCCTTTTTGCTAAATATGCAAAAGAAACAAATAACAATATTAAACAAAGTTAGTGCTCATGTTATTAATTTAACAACTTTTCTTAGAATAATAACAGTGTTCTTGCTCTTCTCTGAAAAGAAAGGACTACTTTTCCTTGACAAACAGTATTGAATATTGAAATTTGAAGAACAACCAATTCATTTGGGCATCTTACAGAGCAGAAAACCAAGAGGTGCACTGTGTGCTCAAATGCTTACAATTGCCATCATGTCATTCAAGGTCATGCTAAACATTGCAACCTTCTTTCCTTCATCATCAAATGTCCTCTCCCAAGATATTGCTGGTGGCTTTTCACAATCCATGTGCAGGACTGCCTAAAGCAAGAACAGTACTTTCAGAGTGAGACTGGCTAACTTTCTCAACAAAGAACATAATGAAACACTGCTCAGATACAATCCATATAAATAGTGGCACAAATCAAGGAACCAAAGAACCAAGGTGAAGAAAACAGTTCTTCTAAACACAGGAGCACATCATTTGCGTGTTCCATTTTCCAAAAAAAAAAAAACTTTTTCCACAACTCTTTGTTAGGTTCAGAAGGTACCTTGGTTTCCTCCAATTCTGAACTTCCCATCTTGATATGAACTCCGGTTGGATTGCGGCTGGGCAGCTAATATGGGCACAAGGACAAGATGTAAATTTAAAGACTTGTCGAGATGTCAAGAACATGACTAAGCAAATATCAAGATTTCTGAATGTAAATCAGCAATAAAAAACACAGCACAACACAAATACTCAGGTATCTGAATGCAAAGCATGCATTTCAGGAATCTGCAGAAAACTAACCGAGAACTATCAAGTATCAACTAAGGAGGAGGAGGAGGAAGAGAGTAATACCTGAATCTGAACAGCACTAGACACTTAGACTGCTCTTCTCATTCAGCAGATGCTAAGATTTTTTTTCGAAAGCCGGCCGGAGTATATATTAAGAAGGAGAGAGTTTAAGCAAACTGTACAAGAAAACAATCAGAGCCAAAGCTCACATACAGAACAAACTGTACAAGAAAACAAGCAGATGCTAAGATTAGCTTTTATAAAACATTCGCAGGGAAACAACAAGTGGAAGCAATAGACAGCACGGGAAGCACATGTTAGCATCAGGTTTTCTCTTCTTTAATTTTTAGGTGGGTGGAAAACTACGCAGCTCACACATCAGCGTTAATTGATTAATTATTTCGATGGTCTCCAATCCCCATGGTGATGCCTCTTTTGTTCTCTTCTGTGTGGATATCGAGATGATGTCTCTAATTCATCTAGAGCAAGTTTAATAGTATAGCCAACTACCGGCTCCAAATCAATTATAGTCAATTTTATAGCCAATTCATACAATAGTTACCTATAAACATATACTACACAATTAATACTTGGGCCCACCTGTCATACACACATGCATCTTAGAGTTCGTGCTGTAGCTGGCTATAAATCTGTAGTTCGTTGCTCATCTCTATCCTATTTTATATCCTCGAAATGTGTTTATAGCTGGTTTATAGTCTGCTATTGTACCTGCTCCTATAGCCAATCTAATAGCTCATTCATACAATAGTTATATACTACACTATTAATATCTGGTCCCACCTATCATACACTCACTGCATCTTAGAGTTCGTGCTACAGCTGGCTACAAATTTGTAGTCCGCTACCATTCTTTCTCTTCATTTATCTCTTTAAAATATGTTTGCTGCTATTGTACCTGTTCTAACAAAAATGTTCTACCTTGTATAGTTTAAATTTTTTTTTGGAATAGAGCACATCATTATATTAAGAGAAATATCGAAATATCTTTTATGTACAAGCCGAAGGAAAAGAGAAAAGAGAAGGGGACAAGAAACAGGAGAGCCCAACGGTTTGATGTGAACTTTTTTGATCAGGACGTTTGGCTCAATCTGAACTAGAAAACCTATGATTTATATACGATCTGAATAATTTGACATGATTTTTTCGTTGGAACTCCCGCATTCGAAACTAGGGCCAGTCAATTTATTGTCGACGTGATGCAGAACGGGAAGGACCACGAGGATCTCGAATCCCAAATATCCACATATTCATTCAGAAGGTACAATTGAACAAACCACGAGTAAGTTTGCTGACGCTAATAAAAAAAAGTTTCTCTTTCTTTTTTGAAAAAAAGATGCTAATCAAGAAAGTAATTTTTTTAGAGAAAGGTATTTTGGTCTAATCAAGAAAGTAATTTTTTTTAGAGAAGAGTGTTTTGGTTTTTTTTTTTTACCTGGCCTCTACATCCAACCGATATATGCAGCATTTTTAAATTAGGAACTTAGCCTATCGAATTGGGAACTTAGGCGTCAAATAACCCAATCTAAAATTCGCTCATATAAAGATTTGAGCTCAGGACCTTGGGTGTTACTCAGGTCACTGTAACTATTAGGCTACATCCTTTCACATCAAGAAAGTAAATTAAAAGCGTAAACTATGTGATCTCTTCATATGTCAGACAAAACCAACGAAACTTATGTTTCTATTGTTCTTTCTATCTTGATTAGCAAGTTTGATGTTTTTTTTTTGAAGTTAGGGCTAAACCTGTGGCTACTGCTCTTAAAACCAGCAAATTAAGCTGCTTGTATTTATTACCTATGACGATATGCTTAGAGTCAATGGTAATTTTAATTTCAGCCATTACAAGCAGATAGACACCCATGGCCCATGGGAATTTGGGAAGTCCACTCAATTTGGTCAAATTGTCGTATAGTCATTGAGAAAACCAAAGCAGCCAGGCTGCTTGCAAGTCCATGGTCATATGTTTATGGAGTAGCAAGTAACCAAGTCACTCATGACATCGACATGCTATCTAGAAGGCAAAGGTCATCTTCTTTCAATCCATTTGCTGAATTGCAGTGCAGGCAATATCCGTGCATGTTTCCTCCTCAAATTCTTATTGGCTATTCAGTACAGTATTCAGATAAACAGCAGTACATCGTGTTCAGAACTCAGAAGTACTACCTCCGTCCCAAAATAAGTGCAGCCGTGTATATCCATGCCCAACGTTTGACCGTCCGTCTTATTTGAAAAATTTGTGAAAAAATTAAAAATATTTAGTCACACATAAAGTACTATTCATGTTTTATCATCTAATAGCAATAAAAATATTAATCATAAAAATTTTTTAAATAAGACGAACGGTCAAACGTTGAACATTAATAGTACAAAACTGCACTTATTTTGGGACGGAGGGAGTAGCAATTTGTCTTCCTCACTGGGTCCTCTGCTCTGAATTTTGTGAGAAAAGAAACAAAATGCTCTGTAGAAGAAAGATGGAGTGCACAGTTTGAAGTGATCGTAAGCACAACAAGCTGTCAGGTTTGAAGATATTGCCCATAATCTCGCGATCTTTTCACATGTGGTGGGTATCTGTCAATTATAATAGTTGAAAGCTAGTTCGAATTTTATAATATTAAATGTGTTGAAAGCTACTCTCTCCGTCCAAAAAAAAAACTCAATTTCTGAGTTTCCGTGTCTAACGTTTGACCGTTCGTCTTATTTAAAAAAAATATAAACAAATTTAAAAAGATAAGTCATGCATAAAGTATTATACATGTTTTTATCAACTAACAATAATAAAAATACTAATCATAAAAAAATTTCATATAAGACGGATGGTAAAACGTTGGACACGGAAACCGAAGATTTCTGTCTTTTTGGACGGAGTAAGTAATAATTCAGTGAAAAAATTTTGGTACATATAGCTTGAGTATGTGGAGTTCTGTACCATTTCTAGTCCCTTTCAGAAAAATCGTTCTCATTTCGGCCTTATCGAAAGGTAACATGTAAGATCACTTGCCCATCACCTGAACTGTTGAATTTTCGCCGGGACAATGAACAGTTGGATTCTTGCCTATGATTGTTTGAAAGGAATAGCATTTTTTTTTGAATTAGAGATGACAGAGAGGATAGATCATAACTACTGTAGGGGTACTGTATATAGATAAGCAGGGACATTAGAGGTTGAGAACACGTTCGGGGATTTGGAGGTGCATGTGCATGCAGCAGCTGCGAGATGATCTTCCTCTAAAAATAATTAGAATTTGGTTCCTAAATTTGTGACCTAAAAAGAATTAGAATTTGGTTTGATGCGCATGCTGTGCTCTAAAAAGAAGAAGATTTGTGAGGATTAGAATTTGGTTCCTTGGGCATGAATTTTCACATTCATCCAGTCCTGTCCAATCCAACAAGGCAAGAAGAACAAGATTCTACAGCTATCACATGTAGCTAGAAGTATATTTCTAGCTGTAGGCGAAGAGACTGAAGAGCAGTGAGTGGGGTGTAGAGACGGAAATTTTTTTTTAACACCTACTACTCCGTAAAAAAAAGATTTATAGGTAGGATTGATTTTTTTTTTGACGGAGAGGGTAGGTGCAATCGCATCTAGGGTGTGAATGTGATGTAAATAGTTGATAAAAAAATATGAAAAAAAGATATATTGTGATAATAACGCTTTGTACACAAACATGCAACTACAAATTCAATATACATTTGAAGAAATAAAAATAACAAATTTTGTCCGTATATATTCTGCCGTGTCAAATTCTGTTATTTTTATCTAACCATGTTGGTATACACTCCTAGCATCACAGTCAACACTATATATTTTTCTAAAAAGAATTGTAAGATTATTTAGATACCTAGCCCAGGCGTAGCAAATCCATATCCGGGAATAGACTGAAGAGCACCCTTGAATCCAAATCCATATCAGCAGCACAGTAACACAAGCGCTGTTTAGGTTCCTAATGTCGTCCAGCTATGTCTCCTGTCGCCGGCATCTGAACCTCTCTCTGCCCTTCATTGATGCCTTTGTTCTCGCCGGAATGTGGTGCTGTCTCCGGCGACAAGACAACGTGACGAGCCATGTAAACCGTACTTGGGCCCCCTTACGGCCCAACAAAAAAAAATGGGCCGCAAGCGGGGCGGTTATGTATCAAATATCTACATGAAAAATTGTTTTAAAAAAATCATATTAATCTATTATTTAAAATAAAATACTGTAGTTGATAATTAATTATATGCTAATAAGTTACTTCGTTTTACGTGCGTGAGAGATTAGTTTCCAACTCATTTGAGCCAAACACAGCCTTCCCTTTCAGACAAACCGTTCTCATTTCGGCCTTATCGAAAGATAACATGTACATGCCTCTTTATTACTTTCCCATCACCTTGAACAGTTAATTTTTTTTAATTAGAAATGTTGGACAGGATAAATCATACTACTACAGTAGGGAGTAATGTAGGAGTATACGTTAAGAGGTTGAGAAGACGTTTGGGAATTTGTAGGTGCATGCGCAGCAGCTGAGCTGCAAGATTATCTTACTTATATATAAAAAAGGAAGAAGAAGATTTTGAGTTGATGTTCATGCAATCCAAGAAGCAAGGCAAGAAGAACAAAAGATTTTTTTTCGAACGGCTAAACAAGGTTGCTCTGGCGTTATATTAATGGAAGGAATTTAAGTACTACTACACAGCAACCAGAAATGAGATAACTTATTAGCACATAATTAATTAAGCATTAATTATTATAAAATTAAAAAATATATTTATTTATTTATTTAAAAAACTTTTACATATAAACTTTTTATAAAAACATACCATTTGATAGTTTAAAAAACGTGCTAACGGAGAACGAGGAATTTAACGTTTAGAGTTGAGAAAAAGAACTAGGCCTTAGACATTGTTGATAAATTGTTTGAGAGCACCTTCAAATCCTTGTTTTTTCTTATTTTGCATTCTATTGTGCTAACTTACCCTATATAATTTTACATATATAAATTGCAGTTACAAATGTAGTACCAAAAGTAGATTGTTGTTTTTAATGTTCAGATGCTAGTATTTTCAGCAGCAGCAAAACAGTAGTAGGTTTTTTCAGAAGAACTTGTTGTGCGCATTCGTGAAAATCTTTCGCAACAAGAAGCACGGTATGATGTGGGCTGATGCTTTGGTGGTAGGAAATATCATAATCCTAACTTCCCTTAGTATTCTCTTATGAATTTGCTCTTCGCAGCTCTTAAATTGTTTCTTGCTAGCTATTACTCACTAATTTCCTCGGTTTCTACATATGATAAATTGAATGGGCAGAGCCATTGCCATTGTCTTATGATTTATAGTGTAGTCTCCTTAATCAAATGGACATGCCCACTAATGTTCTTAAAAGTATATTAGCATATTTGTGTAATGTTGTCAGGTGTATTTTTTAGCAGGTCCTCGTCATCCTCGTACAGTAGTGCAACCCATCGCTGGGACTCTGCCTGATGGTTCCCCAAATTTCAGTACGGTCTGAATGATACACATCCCGCAAACTTGTATTTATCTGATAATTCAAATTGTATTTACAGTTTTTTCTCCTTGCACCATCTCTTTCACCAAGCCTTGTCTTCTGTTGCATTTCCACCTGCTTTATATTTATCTGTGCGAGTAATTTATTATTCTTTGTTTTTGCAGTTCTTTGAGATTGGGATCCTACGGTGAGCACCTCTTTCCTCAGATAAGTCGTATTGTGAACCTCGATGTCTCTCGACCAACACCTGCTCTCCGACTCCGACCAATCTGCGCTCCACGGCTTCACCCTCCGTCCGATTCAAGGGGACATTATGTTTACTGCTCACACGGTGAGTTTTCTCTTTGGATTTCAAATCTCATTGCCATTGCTTCACTCCTAGTGCACCTAATGTCCTGTTTATTTGGACTTCAAATCCCATTACACTGCTTCACTCCTAGTACACCTAATGTTCGGTTTATTTGACATTGCCTTGCTTGACTACTATGTTTAGGAGATTGTTGAATTACTTGTTTGACAACACATTTTGAAAATCTGAAATTTTATGAACATTGTTAATTAATTTGTCTGACAAGACCTCTTAAAATCCAGAAAATATATTATAGAATTTGTTAATCAATTGTAACACATTTTGAGCCCAAACTTATGGAGATTGTTTATTATTTGTATGAGAAAACCTCTTAAAGTCCCAAATTTATAGAGATTGTTAATTATTTGTGTGAGAAAATATCTTGAAATCCCAAAATTATATGGAGACGATTAGTTGTCTGAGAGCACCTTGAAATCTTTCTTTAGACAAGGTTTAGGTCAAACTTTTATATTTTTTACTATAAATAATTTCAAAATATTTAATTTAAAAACACTATAAATTGACTATAAAAGCGTATTCAATTCACCAGGTTTACTACCTCTAATATCATAATTCTTGGCGTTTTGGACAATGTTGAGGTCAAAATTTTATATTTTTGACTATACACTATAAATTGATTATAAAAGTTTTGACCCAGTATTGCTATAAAAATATTTGATAGCAGTTCTTTTTTTAATGTAATTCTTTTGAATTGTAACATAAGTTTATTTCTGACCTTACTCAGGAAAACAATTAGATTTTATTACTCTATGAGATATCTTTAAGAGGGATTTTACCGCTTCTGCGCTTAAAAAAAATCTTTGTGCTGCAAAAGATTTTCTGTGGGATTGTAAACCTCCTAAGAGCGATATGGTGGTATGTTATTACGAATTAATTTAGAACCTTTTAATAATGGCTTAATTGATGAGGGTTTTTTTTTATATAAAATTTTATTTTTGTAATAAATTATATAAGTATAAATGAGCTTTAGTCTTGGTATATGGGTCGACACAAAATAAATCTAAGGAACAATTTCTTACTAATTAATCTAAGGAACAATTTCTTACTAAATAAACTAGGATGTGTAGTCATGAAAACTTACCAATTATTATTTGGGTGACTTTAATATATTACACAACAGAGGAAAAGAATAATGATAATTTTGATAATAGATGACCTTTTTTTAATGCTATTATTGATGGTCTGAGCCTTTCTGGTAGAAATTATGCCCGGGCAAATAATTTATCATTGCCAACTTATAAAAAAAATAGATAGAGTGCTAATGTCTAGTCCTTTACTCTTAAATACAAATTCATCTTCTGTTTATAATAGTCATAAGAATTTTAAGTTTAAGTTAGGTTGGCTATTAAGTCGGTCTGACTGGGCCCTCGGTCGGTCTTACCTTATAGTCGTAATGGCAGTATGACACTTCGAGTACGAGTCCAATTAAGACAGTTATTGTGTAAGTTTCTACAGTACTTCGTCTTGAGGTTTTCTTTTAAGTCCTATAGATCACTAAGTTCGAGTACGAATCCATTAAGACAGTTATTGTGTTTCTACACTTCGTCTTGAGGTTTTCTTTCAAGTCCTATAGATCACTAAGGGCGCTATGGCCCTGTTAAGGCAACTAATCCTTTTATAAGAGCTGTTGATTCGATTAAAACCCTGACATACACCAACAAATAATCAAATCATTCTTTTACATCACATTTAACCATGTTATTTTGTCTACCACGCTAGTCCACAGGCCAGAATTAAGTATTATTAATTAAAACTCATTAGCGTATGATTAATTAAGTATTATTTATAAAAAAACTTTAAAAAATGCATTAATATGATTTTTCAAGCAACTTCATATAATTTTTTTTAAAAAAACACATTATTTAACAATTCAGAAAGTGCGCACGAGAAAGTAGAAATTGAAACGGTAGTTCCAAACACTAGACATGTTAGAAAAAAAAGATGACATATTCAGGAAAAGCGTACGCCATATTATGTGTAGTCACATCACACTCACCATCCATGAATATAGGGCCCACGTAGATACTGGGATATAACTATATGAGTGGAATTGAGGTTGGAACAGTTAAGACTTAAGATGAAATAAGGTGAGAAGAATGAACATCTAGGGTTAAAAGTTATTTTTTGATGGATGGGAAATTATTTCTATTCAAATGAAACCTATGGGATAGTATATAAATTCTATCTTAAAATTATTTTCCATTGTTTGCATTAAGTTTCTTCGGTTCATAAGCTGCAACCTCTATTTTATTATAATGTTTATTTTTTTTGGTGTGTCAAGGAGTGAACGACGTTAGTTTTTACATATCTATATATATTCAAGTAATCTAAATATAAGAAGTAACATATAAATAAATTATCTATTGCTAGACAATAGATAAAATCTGTCCTTTCCTTCAACAGAAATTACAACCAATTAATTATCACAAAATTGTTTGCGCAAATCCAAATAAAATGTAACTAACATAGGATGGAAAATAAGACAAATATTAACTCCACCAACAAACAAATTATTCAGATAGTAATCCTATCAGTAAATATTCATCCAAAGTTAACGAAAATTGATATGACCATTGTATCCATGATTTTGCATGCAAGAGGAATGGATTACATCTTCTCGTCACATCTTTGTTGATTGGGCTAAAGCCGAAATTAATATATTTCCCTAAAGAGCACCTGCATATAAGATTTAGTTGGAATTTTATCAAACCATAGAGTCCAGCATAAAATAGAGGTTCATATTAATATAAGTTTTTTTTTGTTTTTGTCAATGCCAACAAGCCAACTTTCAAAAATATAGGAGAAACTACCTATGTATTGCTTTCATGCCAAAGGAAAAAAGGCAGTTCTGCCAAGAAATTCAGAAAAACAGTAATAAGTAAAGAATAGATGCTGCATAGTTTCCTCATGCATACAATTAACTATATACTCCCCCGTCTCAAAATATAAGTATTTTTGGACCTCGACCTAGTCTTCGAAATGCTACCTTGACCAACAGTATCTATAAGAATAAAATATTTTAAATAAAAAGAGTTGCATATTATAATAGTTTGATTAATGATAAATCTAGTAACATCAATTTTATATGATTGATTTTTTTATTTTTTTTGCTATTAATAGTTAAAATTACAAATGGTTGACTTGGCACTATGCTAAACATGCGTATATTTTGGGACGGAGGGGTATATGTTTAACAGCATATTAATGTGATATTATTGGAATAGGAACGGCCTGTCGGTACCAGAGTATTCCATTCCAATAGCTAAACCGGGATAATTGTCTAAAATAGAATTGATTGGTGTACATAGAGGACCAACAAATTTGACCATTTCGAGATAAGCCAGATGTGGTGGTGGCACTATATAAAGAGGCAATGACTAATGACCAAACAAATTCATGACGACATACGCGGTTAGACCTGATCCATGAGTTGACGCCATTACGAGCAGCATGGCCAGTCTCCCATATTTAGTGTTTTATTACTGTATTAATTATAATTTAATACTGCTCTATGGACCATCATCACTGTAGTACTGAAATTTCTGACGCTACCAGCCAACTGAAAAAAAAATCCAAACAGCTACTCCCTCCGTTTTATAATATAAGACTTTCTAGTATTGCTTATAGATACACATATATGTCTAGATTCATTAATATCTATATTAATATAAACAATGCTAAAAAGTCTTATATTGTAGAACGGATGAGGTACGTAGGAGTAGCAAATAAGACATGAGACGCAGTGCTATATATATATCAACTTGTCAAGTTGATGCATGCCCATTTAAAGTATTCACCCATGTAGAGAAGAATTAGAGGCACCTAGCTACTCACATCTAGACACATAAATACTCCAAATATATTGGAGGTCACATGTTATGTTTTTTGTTACATGGAAGACATATACATATACAAACTTAAGAAATGCGCGATAGCAGACGTTCAAATAAACGGAGATCATGGTAAATTCTAACCTCACTAAAATTCATATTGAAAAGTACGTCCTACTAAACACGCATGCTTGTGTATACGAAGCTAGACATTGATTATCTGATAAGTCGATCTCTAAGTTTTCAGGAGCCTAATACTCTACCCAAATGATCAAACCAACAAAAGTTCACTACCAAAATATACATTCAAAAGATTGAAAGCGTAGTAACTTCTATAACACCAAATTTATTTTATTAGATTCAATTGAATATATTTTACAGTAAATTTATTCAGTATTAAAAATGTTACTATATTTCTCTATAATCTAGTCAAACTTATGAAATTTTACTTCAAACAAAAGAAAACAAAACACCTTACACTATGAGTACTGAAGCAGAGAGTGACTCGGAGAGTACCAAAATTTTGTTAGTAATAAGGTGTTTTGACATGATATACGAGAGGTGGAATGGAAATGAGTGGACAAAATATAGAGTTACCATATTTTGGTAGAGCAATGAAGTTTAATCACGATGAGGGGAGGGTGACGGCGTCCATGAACTCCTCGTCGGCGACGAGCCTCCGGAGCGCGTCCGGCGCGATGCAAACCTCGAGCGACATGCTCCCGGCGCCGTCCGGGCCCTCGAACACCGTCGCCTTCCCGTCGATCTTGTTCCCGGCGCCGCTCCTCACCGCCACCGGCCTTCCCCACCCGAAGTCGTTGCCGAACACGTCGAACCGCGGCGAGCTCCCCGTGATCAGCGCCACGCCGCCGGCATCGCCGGATTGCAGCTTCGACATGTACGTGAACTCCGGCTCCCGCACCCACCGCTCCAGCGACTCCCTCATGCCGGCCTCGTCGAACGACGCCACGGCGCGGTTCAGCTGCCATGCCGTCCACCCGAGCCCCTTCTCCTCGATCTCGCCGGCCGTCGCCTCCGCCTTCCCGAACATCAGCGCGTTCCCGACGTACCCCGCCGGGATGCCGTTCACGCGCCCCCGGCATCCCACCATCACCGTGTAGAACGTCACCTGCTCCGGCGGGAGTCGCCGGGCGCGGCACACACCTCGCCACAGGTGGGCGAGCACGGCCTGGAGCGACGAGATGGTTGACGTGGCCGCGCCGGACATCTCGTCGTTCGCCTTCGCCTTGAGCTTCCGGGCGCTCGTTGCCGAGAAGGTGAAGAAGCATTCCTGCACTTCCGGCCGCTCGAGCCGTCGGACGATGTGCTGCAGCTTGCCGACCGGCATGGGGATCGGCACCGGGCTGGTCTCGACGAACCACCGCCGGAACACCGGCGCCGGCGTGGAGATCTCTCTGATCATCAGGTCGTCGCTCATGGCGCCGCCAGCGCGGCGGTTGATCTCCGACCATGCGTTCATGAACTTCCAGAAGGTGGTGCCGTCGCCGACGGAGTGGTTCAGCGACATGCCGACGAACACGCCGTCGGCGAGCTCGGTGACCTGCGTCGACAGCACGGGCCGCGACTCGGTGGCGGCGTCGGCGCCGAGCACCAGGTTGTACGAGTAGAACGACCATACCTCCGGCGGCGTGTAAAGCGACGAGACGACGTCGGACACGGCCACGCCGGGCGCCGCCGCGTGGACGAACTCGGCGCCCTCGCCGGTGCACCGCAGCGCGACGGTGACGGTCCCGTCGTCGGCGCGCTCCTCGGCGACGAGACGGCCGGCGAACGGGTAGAACAGCGCGAGGGCGCGCGCGAAGGAGGACGCGAGGGCGTCGGCGAGGCGGTCGCCGGAGAGCGGCGGCTTGGGCAGGAGGACGCCCTTCTGGATGTAGTCGATGCTGAGGAAGCGGAGGTCCCACGGCGTGAGGTGGATGTCGCACGGCGGCGCGTGACCGGACGACGACGACGACGACGACGACGACGGCCGGACGAGGCGTCGGGACAGGACCCGGACACGGTCAACGGCGAGAGCTACGTTCCGGTGGTCATTGCTTCCCATGTCACGCTGCTCTCTTCTCTTGTAATCCGTACGCCTCTACTGGACACACAACACCTTGAGCATATACATATAGTGGCGCTCTTGGGCATGGCTCCAGATCCAATTTGTTTTTCTTTTGCATGAAAATTTAAATTTTAGGCTCCGTTTGGCACAGCTCTAGCTCCCAACTCCAACTTACCTGTAGCAGGAGATATGCTAAACAGTCCAAATCCTCTGTTTTTGGGAGCGGAGTTGACAGAGCTGCTACACGAATTTGTACTACGGGGGTGGAGCTGGGTTTTTGTTGCTCCACAGCTCCACTCCAACCCAAAAGACCCACTACCCTTTAAATTTTTTACATATTTATAAAAAATACCACTCAACTACCTCTAACTCATCTCTCACCTCTCTCTCTCTCCCTCCCGTCACCCTCACTCTCCAATCCAACGGGCTCGACGGCAGCCGGCGGTCAGCACACGGTTGGCGGCGAGGTCGACGGTGGGCGGCGGGTGGTGCACGGCGGGTGGCGGGGTCAACGGCGCACGGCGGGCGGCACGTGATGGGCGGCGTGCGGCAGTGGTGCGCGGCCGGCGTGCGGACTATGGCAGGCGGCGGCCAGCGTTGGGGACAGCGCGCAGCCGGCGTGTGGACTGTGGCAGGCGGCGCGTGGCAGGCGGCGGCCAGCCGCACACGAGGACGATGACAACGCAGCTGCTGCGGACGTTGCGATTGAGGATTTTTTTTTCTTTTTTTTAAATTTTAGATCTGGAGCTTAAAACCTAACAAACACTTTTCAGCAGGTCTCCAACTCCCTTTTCAGCAGGTCTCCAACTCCCACAGAAGCCAGCTCCCTCTGGAGTGGAAGTTTAGAGCTCTGAGTTGGAGTTTGGAGCCCTACCAAACTACTATAATTTAACATATAAACATCAAATTTATCATAGATCTGAGATCTAGAGCTCTGCCAAATAGGACCAGTGTATTTTATGGTTGGGCTCCTATTTTGAGATTCTAGTATTTGAGGAGCTAAAGATCCCAGCAATCAGACCCTACTATAATATTTTTGAAATGCAGAATTAAAATTGTATGAAATCGAACATAGTTATAAGGACAATTCCAATCTAGAAAATATTAAAGTAGTTTCCATACTCACCATATCATATAGATACTATATATATAGAAATTATGTACCTATAGTTGGTTGTTTTTTTCAAAAAAAAAAATTCTTATCTAATCACCTCTCGTCTCTCTCATTTCATCCACCTATTCCATCGTTTCCATTCTTGGTTCCTACGTAGAGTCGGTTTTTATATGAGAAATGATTTTTTTTCATCTTTTTCTTTCTCTTCTTATTAACTCTTTTATCACATCGGTTTTTTTCCTACATGACATCATATTTAATGCTATAGAAACTAACTGAGGTGGATGGTTGGTACTGCTTTAAAAGTTAGATTTGATATGCTATCAATCACCCTAATTTGACTATATCTTTAGGATACTCCAATATCATATATAATTAATAGTTGAATATTAGTGTTGGATCTCAATCCAGAGGATCTCTTCCATCCCTTGACTATCTTCCTTCTCCCAAACCCTGTGTATTATATTGATGGTTCCACCTTGCCACTACGCTATATTTGTCCCTACAACTCTACCTACTTGCATACATCATTCTCTCCCATGCAACCGGAGATATATGAGGGTAAGAAACAGGCCATTTCGAGGCTTGATGCTACTCTTAGGAATATTATTGATACATCGCCCTTCAAGCATCTCGTAGTTGAGCGGTACTGCCATCAACAGTGCTGAACATGGATAGAACGGGAGTCGAACTCGCTAGTCACTCTTTTCATGTTAGTTAGGAAAGAAAGCCGATATAAACAGCTCCATGTTAGGGAATTGCCTCTGACTTTGCATAGGGTTGACATTAAGAGAAAAAAAAGTTAAATTAGAAGATAATATATGGTGGCGATTCTAACTTAGCACAGGGTTGACAATGAGTTGTTAGAAGGTAACATGGGGTGATAACACGATATTTTCACCAGAGACAAGGAAGACGCATGATAGCAGGAGGCTCATATCTAGGAGGCGGAACATAAACAATGAGCAAGAATTGAAGAAGCAATATGAAAGGTTGAAGAAATCAGCCATATTAACTGGCATAATCGTTGGACATGATAATACTACTAATGAGTAGAGATTACCTATTGGCTGGAGCACAAATCGGATCTCAGCTAATTAATGATGAGTATTCTCAACGTACTCTAGATGTTGACATTTTGCTTATTTGTGATCTGCGGCTGTTGATTTCCTGATGAGCCCTTAGGGCACCCACAATGGTTATCTATAGACTCTCTACAAGAGATCCATGTCAGCATATTTTCCTACTTGGAAGGTATTAAATGAAGAGAGAGAGTAAAGCTATCTACTAACTTAGAGATAGTCTATAGAGAAAAACGAGGCAATGCATAAGAGAGCTATAGATACCAATGTAGACATACTATTAAGGTGGTTTACTATTAATCGAGTCTATTGCTGAGATGTACATGTTTTATAGATAGCACCTTACTTTACCATTGCGGGTGCTCTTATAATATTGAAATTATAATTAGTATGTACTTGATTAACATATTTATCATTTGGACATTTGGTCTTGGTCTATTTAATGTGTTGACGATACATTCCTGGGTGTGTACATGTATGTGTTCCACTGTAATCAAAATAAGACAAAACGAAAAGGTGACACTGAAAATTTACACATACGCACTCGCGGGTGTATGCTGGTGTTTGGTTTTAAACGGCTGAGGCAACCCGGATTAAACAACCCTAATAATATGGAGGCTACTGTCAAACTGGATAATTTTCGCCAGGCCATCGTCAAACTAGATTGTGTTTTTAGGCCAACGGCCTGACGTCCTGATTTTATAGAATGCAACTAAATTCAAACATTAGACTCAAAACAATACTATCCAAGAAGAAAAGCATTAGACTCAAACTGCATTGTTGACATGAGGATTTCAAACTTTGTTGCAATATTTGACTCTTTTGGTCCCTTTGCAATGGAGCATAGTGCCGGTCAAATAGTAACTCTATGTATATGGAGACGCACTTGATAGTGCAGTGGTAAGGGGACGTGTGGTTTCAACACCGAGATTCCGTGTCAATCTCCAACATATTCATAAATTTCTTCTTTAAAAAGTATTCGAAGGGACGTCTTTTCCTTCAAATCTCGATTTTAATAATTATATGTATATGACAAAATAATTTTAACTAAAGAAAGAGGGTTCCTCCCATCCTTTAGAGGCATATACCTCCCTATATATTATTTAAGAGCAAAAAAAAACCGGTTGAACTGATAAACAATTTTATGATAGGAGAAAATCTCGTTCTGTGCATGGTTCTCTCACCCCGTCACCCGAGGTGTATACCTCCCAATATTTGAGAGAAAAAATATTAAACCGATTAAACTGATTATTAAAAAAATAAGTTTATAATTGGCAATGAGCTATAGACTTTTCTGGGATCCACAAGGTATATATAGGGATATATACCTTCTGGCTAATACAAATATCTATACCTCTTAAAAAATTATATACAAAAAGGGCTCTCAATACTATTCTAATTTAAGTTTAGTTTTGATATCTACTTTTTATAGCTATGTATATCTTGATTATGACGAAGTGTATACCTCTCCCAGATAAGAGAGAACGACTTGTAGTTGTTTGGCACAAATCCACCTTAGCAACTTCCCCATTTGCTAATTAAAAAGAGTATGACCTACATATGACGACAATTAATCGACGTAAGTTTAGGGGAATCATAAAAAGTAAAAAAGTAAAGTACAAATTCATACAGTAAACTAGGTTTTTTCAATGACGTAAAACATATTTTTCTCCCTATATGTTCCATATAGTCTATCATGGTTAGCATAGTCAACACACGCACTTGATTAACTTACAGTAAAGGTAAGCCGGCCGCCAAATGAATCTAGCTAGGCCTCAATAGCCAAATTTCCCAACACAATATATATCTTGTGTGGAGCTAGATTTTAAAAAACAAAATTAAATTTCACATACAACTATATAATTCTCTTTCTAAAATACAATTTTATTTTCTATATAATTGTGCTGAATTCGGAACCACCATGATTAAATAATGCTCATGTTTATCCGGTTCTCTGACAAACGTGGCCTTCTAAGCCTTCCGGACAAAATGTGGTTGCTCATTATATAAAAGGCATATCTTGAGAGGGCACCAAGGATTAAGAAGAGTATATAAACCAAGGCAAAATTGAGTTAAAATTAACATACTGTCCCTATTTGAATACATTGGAAATAGAGAAGAGTAGTTAGTGAGATGTGTTTTAGGAGGAGACTATACAATAAATAGGGACACAAGGAAAATGTCACGCCCCGAACTAGTACCGACCGGAACTAGCCCGTGACGCTCCAAATTAACCTGTTAGTCGATACCAGTCCCAGGAAACAGTGCTGGTATCACAGGAAGACGGATTATCACAGCAACAGAGGTCTCTTTATTATAGAGTAGAGGTACAGTCATGTTGGGCTGCGGACAGATCCCGAGCTCACAACTGCATTACAAAAGGGAAACGGAAGCCAGGACTAGGACCAAACAACACAGGCGCGACTTGGGAACTAGGCCGAAACCCTAAAACTCATCGTAGCCGGCTTGCTCCTGGAAGAACTCCTCATCAGCAGGATCCGCTTCATCTTCTTCAGCAACTGGGGGAGGATTATTTATATAGAGCAAGGGTGAGTACGGGAGTACTCAGCAAGCCAAGGGAAAATAAGTGTTTAATGCAGGCTTCAAGGAAAGGCTGTTGTTTTTGCAATTGATTTTATTTGAACTCCTTTCTGAAAACAACTAAGTGAGTGCTTCTCAAACGACACGGATGAGACAGTGCGTCTCGTCCGATCGGAGTATGTGCAATGTATCAGTCTTTAGAATTGAATCAAGGTTGGCACCCGGCCAACAGCTTTTCAAACGGCCACCCGGGCCAACAGCTTTTCAAACGGCCACCCGGGCCAACAACTTTCAAACAGCCACCCGTGCCTAGCTGATCCCGTCAGCTGCAGATTTTTCAAACATCGAACCCCTTTCCACAACAGCAATTTCACAAGCAGTAGTCAAACAAAACTACGCTAGG